TAAATGAAATTTTTGATACAAAACAACTACAAAATGCAATAGGAAAAAATAATCAATTGAAATTTTCGAAATCGTTTTGAAAAATGAGAGTTCGAAACTTATTAAATTAAATGTTATTGAAACTCAATCATTAAATGGAAAACGCAATCATAAAATGTTATTAAATCAAGCAAATGAAATAGCTTTTTTAATATATGGCATAAAATATCATATATGCAGTTTTCTTTAATGTTCAACAACGTCACAAAGTCTAGACTTTCTACTAATTCTATTTATTCCTTGTTTTTAAAATATTGAATTTAAGAAGGGTATTGATGCTAATATGTTTCACAAGTTAACTAGTAAGTCGTTTGTATTAGTTTGATGACTTTCAGTAAATGTGTTAATGATGTTAAATATATTTTAGCCATAAATGAAACTTTGAATTAAAAAAGAACTACAAAAAGTTTCTGTTTTATCTTGCAGCAAGAAAATGCATCAAATAAAAGTTTAAGAAATCTGAAAGAAAAAAAAGAACGTTATTAAATTAACTGCATAATTAAATATAGCACATTATACGTTATATAAAACTAATGTTCGTATTTTTCTTCGTAAATTTCAATAATGTTGGAAGTTGTCATATCCTACAACAAATCCTTTTATTAATTTGAAGCAATTGTTTCTGAAATATTGAATTTAGGAAGGATTTAAAAGTTCTGTTTCTATTCCTGAGTCATTTATATCGGATTTAGGATTTTCACCAATCGTTTATATGATGTTAAACAGGGTAAATTTAGAATAGGTGGCCATAGTGCTTTTAAATCGAGATAAAAGTAATGAAATTAGTTAGAGAACAAAAAATATTTATGCATATTTTAAATTCTCATACAAGTAGTTTACATATTTTGAGCAAAAAAATGATGGAATATTGAGAACAAAATATGAAGAAAAAAAATTGAAATAAACTTACATGTGGTCATCTCTTCTTATGTCGAGGTGAAAAGGCCGTTCAATTTATTAAAAAAAGTTAAGCTAAAATATGGAAAAATAACACGCTTTGCATAGTTAACCATCAANTGAATTTAAGACATTTTTATCAGTTATTATATTTTTATCAGTTATTATATTTTATCAGTTGTTATAGTTTTATCAATTATTATATTTTAATCAATCATTTATATCAGTTTATGATATCCCTCAAGTGTTTATATTATGTTAAATAAATTTTTATAAATAAAATATTTGATACAAAACAACTAGAAAATGTTTTTCATCTTATCTTGCAATAGGAAAAAATGATCAATTGAAATTTTCGAAATCGTTTTGTAAATTTAGAGTTCGAACGTTATTAAATTAAATGTTATTGAAACTCAATCATTAAATGGAAAACACAAGTATGAAATGTTATTAAATCAAGCAAATGAAATAGCTTTTTTAATAGATGGCATAAAATATCATATATGCAGTTTTCTTTAATGTTCAACAACGTCAAGAATCACAAAGTCTAGACTTTCTATTAATTCTATTTATTCTTTGTTCTTAAAATATTGAATTTAAGAAGGATATTGATGCTAATATGTTTCACAAGTTAACTAGTAAGTCGTTTATATTGGTTTGATGATTTTCAGCAAGTGCGTTAACGATGTTAAATATGTTTTAGCCATAAATGAAACTTTGAATTCAAAAAAGAACTACTAAGAGTTCCTCTTTTATCTTGCAGTAAGAAAACGCATAAAATAAAAATTTAAAAAATCTGAAGAAAAATAACAATGCTATCTTTATTAAATTAAATGCATAATTAAATATAACACATCATACGTCATTTGAAACTAATGTTTGTATTTTTCTTCGTAAATTTCTACAACGTTAGAAGTTATCATATCTTACAACAAAACCTTTTATTATTTTAAAACATTTGCTTTTGAAATATTGAATTTAGGAAGGACTTAAAAGTTATGTTTCTATTCGTGAATCATTTACAACGGATTTAGGATTTTCACCATTCGTTTATATGATGTTAAACAGGGTAAGTTTAGAATAGGTGGCCATAGTATTTTTAAATCGAGATAAAAGTACTAAAATTAATCAGCCATACAAGAAATGTTTATACATATTTAAAATTCTCATACATGTACTTTACATATTTTGAGCAAAAATTAATGGAATATTGAGAACAAAACATGAAAAAAAAATTGAAAATAAACTTACATGTGGTCATCTCTTCTTATGTCGCACTGTGGAACAAAAATCATTTTTCGCGGTCAAAAATAAAAAAAATGAAGTTATAAGAAAAAAAATCTCAATATGGTTTTTTGTAGTAAAATGTCCAAGGAATATGACGGCGTATTTTGTTTTATTGGTTTATTAATGGAAATAGCAATTAAATGGAAACAAAGTCGAAATAAAAAAAAATTAAATTTTTCTGCTAAATTTTTACTAATATGATAAATCCTTATAGTAAATAAAAATATTAAAGCTATGCATGATTTATACATAAATGTATTTCTAAGATATATATGAATTCATTATTTAATGTAAATACTATTAAAACCAGAGCCATTTCCCTATTACTGCCCTGTACAATGAAATTGTAGCTTTCGGGTGCCCTATAAAAAAAGCCTTACGTTGCAGAGGTAAAAAAATATGTACATTTGTTTGGTATATATACTCAAGAACTAAAAAAAAATTAACTGCGAATGTTTGAAAATTTGGCTGATATATCGATTTTAATAGCTTGTGCCATTTTTATAATAATGATAAAATTAATGAAAAAATTATGAAAATAAACTTGAGATTATTATTTTTGTTATAACATTTTCAAAATTTCTTATATCTAGCAAAATAGATTCATTATTTCTCTTAAATTCGGTAATCAAATTTGTAATTAACAATCTTAAATATTTCGATTCAATTTATTTAGTTTAAATTTGTTTTGATAATTATTTGCGATTTTACATCCATTACTTTATTTATTAAAATTATTAACCGCGAATTTGTAATTAAAGATCTCAAAACCTACTAGTAAATAATTTTTATTTATTTATTTAAAATTTTTCCAAGAATCATCCGCCATTTTGTTTTTTTGAAATTTTGACTTAATATTTGAAATCAGCGACCCAAAAAACCTGTAGGTGATCAATTTTTAGAACATTGAAGTTAATTTTCTAATTTTGGCCGCATTTTTCTGATTTTGTCCCACTGTGTGTCGAGGTGAAATGGCAGTTTCATTCAGTAAAAAAAGTAAAGCCTAAATATGGAAGAATAACAAGTTTTGCATAGTTAACCATCAAAAATTTGGGATAAGTTGTAAAGAATGAATTTTATTATTGAAAATAAGTAAAAGGAATCTAATAAACAATATCTAATATATAGATTTAATTTATCACTTTCGAAAAAAACTTTACCTCGTTCTTGGTAAAAGATTTTCAAAATTTGTTCATGTTTCATGTAGCCATTGCATGCACTTTGTCACATCCTATCCAGTCCTCATTTTTAGTTGTGGAAAATTCTTCTTCACTGTTAACACACTGATAGATAATTCTAAAGACTCAGAATATTCAACAAATTCTGAGTCTGTAGAATCGGATAAATTGTAGGCTTCTGTCGATTTTATAGCGTTTATCGGAAAATATGTTGATTCGGTAGAATTGGACTGTAAGTAATATGCATGAATGTTTTCGTACGGTTCTTAAAAAATTAAAAAATTGGTTTCAGGTTTCAGTATTATAAAAACAAAACTAAGGATTTATTTGTATTAGCTTCCATCTTAAAATTTTAAAATCTATCCAAACAAAAGCAATAAAAGAAACCAAAATTTTTCTAACTGTGCTTATTTATTTAAAAATATTAAACATCGTATTGAATATGAATTTACTAAAATATATTTTATTTTCCTACCTTTTTTAGTACATAAGGAACTTACGATCCTTGATATGTCTATACACATCAAGAAAAGGTGGTCATTACTACTCTCGCTTTTAAGTGATGTTATCTTTCCTAAAGTTGAAAATGAGATGGTCGTATTTATAATGTCCATCCGCATTTATATTCCTTTGCTTTTTGCACAAAAACAAAGAATGGACTATATATGTGCTTTTAAAGTCCATCTAGTTAAAAAAAATATTCTACGCAATGAAAAAAAAACAAAATACCTATGTCACAAAAAATATTTGACCCCTAAAAAATTAAAAAATTGCAGAATTTTCGCTGTCACAAAAAGCAACGCTTTGCAAAAATTGATAAACAAATTAAATTATTTCCTGTGAAATTGCATCAGCTGCAATATATTAACAAGTATTATAATTAACAAACATCAGAACTGTCATACTGGTCATCAAATAATTTAGACATACCCTATATTTTTCATAAATATATATTTTTTTATACAAACCATCAAAAAAATGCTTCGATGTTATCTTGCAAAAGGAAAAAACATCAATTGAAAGTTTACAAAATCTTTACAAGGAAAAAGATGAAAATTCTAACAATATTAAATTAACCACTCAACCATAAAACGTTAATTAATCCCACAAATGGAAAGGATATATTTAAAGGTTCGTTATTAAATACTACTTGAGTGGTTTTATTTAATATTTAACAACGTCAATAGTTACCATATCCCAACAATAAGACTCTCTATTAATTTAAAACAAAGGATATTGATGTTAATATATTTCAAACTACAACTGGTAAGTCATTTATCTCAGTTTTATGAGACTTTCAACAATTGTTTTTACGATGTTAAAGATATTTTTTCCCATAAATAAAACTTTCATTCAAAACAACAACAAAATGCTTCTATCTTATCTTGCAGCAGGAAAAGACATCAAATAAAAGTTTGCAAAATCCTCATGAAAAATGAGTATGCTAACTCTTTACTTTTTAGCTCAACTCCCGAAAGTTTTCCAGTTTTTCTCTCCCGGAAGGTTTCCTTGAATTCTGAGATAAAGGGCAAATATTGGCGATCGCTTTTGGCGACATGCAGGGGCAACCCTACTTCGTCACCCTCTTTTCGGCGCCGGCCGGGATACTCTATACGCCGGTCAGCCCCTCCGGTAGCAGCCCCTGCTTTAAGGCTGTATGGGGAGATTTCGAAATCTGGAAAAGCTTTCAGTAAGTTGTTTTTCCCGTTTTTATCCTGAATTATTTACTTTTTAGTGTTTATAAGTATATTTTCTATTCCCTTGCGAACATATGATTACTTGTTTCACAGTAGAGGACAATTAGGTTTGATCTCATTGGTTGTTTGTCCCGGGACAGTTGCTATACGGTTTGTGTATTTTTGAAACGTGTTTGTTTTTGGTTTAATTTTATCACTTTATGTTAAAAAAAAAATTATATAAAATAAAAATGTAGTTTTTGGAATTGGAAAGGAGTTTTATTGATTATGGCAAATATTTTTTCTTTCAAAAAATTGCCCTAAGCTCATTCTTATACTTAATTCTGTGAATTCAAAAAAATAATTGTCTTGTAAACGAGTAATTTGTTAAGTACTTTGGTTAAATACCTTTAAAAAGAATGGTTTTCTTTAATATTTTGATAAATTTAAAATGTAGTTTTTTGGCTTTGTGCACAAGTTTTATTAATTAATTAGCACAAATAATTTTTAAAAAAATAATTTATGTTTACACGTGTTTTATTATAACATATAAAGAACATATTGTTTTGACATGCTCATATTAACTAATTAGGATAGATATGTGTACTTTTATAAGTTTAAAGTATGTTTTTTTGATCTTGTATACGAGATTTTTTTTTAAATAATATGGGTATTTGCATATATATTTTTAAAAAAGTTTTATTTAAATTTGTTTCCTTTTTACAATTTAAAAAAAAAGGTTTTTAGTTAATTTATTTGGGAAAAATATTTTTAAAAATTCTTCGGTGAAATCGGCATATTTCGTTAAAAAATATTAATTCCTTTAATTCAATATATCCTTTTATTCAATAAATCCATTAATTCAATTTGGATGAATTATATAAGTTTTTATGATGCATAATTTGAATAATACTTATTTAACTTCACTTGTCAACTTCAATTCTCCGATTATGGATAGAACTGCAAATGCAATGCAATATGTAATAAAAAATAACTACAAAGAAATTTCTTCAGATAAAATCAATTTAAAAATAATTTTAATGTTTTCAATTTTTAAAAACTTCATGCAAAAATTATTGCCAAGTCTAAATAGAAAAAAGAAACAAAAAATAAATAAAAATAGCAGCTTGCTTTGAAAATTAGCTTTTTCCTGGAATATTTTTATAAGAAATTTATAGTTTGGTTGGCCTCAATTCAAAATGCTGCTTATTATAGTTTACTGTCGGAATGTTTACTTTTCCAGCGACTATATTACGTACACCTGTATTATAAGTAAAAATTAGATTAAATTACGCATTAATTAGTATAAAATACTGACGTGCAAATTAAAAAAACAACGCAAGTGCGTAGCGGTTGATTTCGAGAAAAGTGGCCAGATAACTATTTTCTTTCTATTGCTAATGCTCTGAACACTAACATAGAATTTTAAAGAAAACTGATAAAAAAAACTTAATTTTTAAAAAAGAAATCAATCTTTTGTAATAGCTACAATTTGAGCTTTTTTTCTTTGTCACTTACGTTGATTTTTCGATCGCACTTCTCGTGTTAGGAGAAGTCTAATCCAGCCCGGATCATTGCTGCAATTGCATTTATTTCAGATTATATCCAATTTTTTTCTTAAAAAAATAAATAAATCTAAAAAGTACAAAAGAAAAGCACAACTTCTCAAAATTCACACACGTAAAAAAAATTTCGTAAAATTAACGACCTGCATTGTAATGACATTCCTGGTAAAAAAAACGAAAAAAAAACATAACATTAATATACACTGTCAGAATTTTTATTCTACAATTATAGTAAAGTAACCGAAGTAGTCTGTCCCTCCAATTAACCGTAAAGTTTACGGTGAAGACCAATTTTTACTTTTAAGGTTTTGAAACCGTTTACATCTAGTATGGTTATAAAAGTATGAATACAAAACTATATGTTTTTTAATTATTTACAACTGGTATGGTTTCAAAGCCATAAAAAAGAAATTTAACTGGACATAGAAGCTTTCTTTAGTCAAAGGGTATTGGGGAGTGCAGAACACTGGAAACTCTTCATAAGTTGAAAGGAATAGAAGAAATATTGTAGTGTCAACGCTGGGACTCGAACCCCTGTTCTATCGGTCATGAAATTGAAAGATTAGTCCTCTCGGCATGTTCGCAGCTGCAAAAAGCTAAGTAGCTTAATTAGGTTGGATAAAACTCTGGTTGCTTAACCGTAGTAGGTGAAAGAAGTTAATAAGCGGTTTTTCTAACAATTAACAGTTTAATCACCATCTTATTTATGGTTATTTGACTGTTTTGTTTGAATATGGGGAAATAACAATTGCATAAATTGTTATTTAACCATTTTTATCCACAAACTTTCTAACAATTTACGGTAATTAAATTATTCAGTTGGTTATTTGGCTCATTTAAATCACTCATTTCCAAGTAAATTGGTTAATTTTTTAACTAAAATATCGCTACCCTAAACAATAAATCCTTGCAAATTTGCTAAAATTTATAACGTATTGAGCTAAACCATGATTTTAATTTAGTATCAAGTGACTCATCGTGTAGAAGAACTAGTTTGCACTATGAGGCATTAAAACTTAGTTAGACCACTTCGCTAGCCGCAAATTCACACTATTTCATGGTTCATTGGTTCAACAATTTTTAACAATGTTGTTAGCCAACTTTTTTAATCATTTCATAGATAGGAACACACTCTCAAAAATAATGTTCGATATTGAATTATAATATTGATACCGTGAAATATATTTTGGAGGAGCCTTATTAATGCCTAAATTTGAACCATGTATCGCGTACCATGAATTGCACAATGTGAAAAGAAATTGTGTATCTTAACACCAGAAATGGTGGCAACTACTTAGCACCATGCGGTGTTTCAATTAGAGTTTCCCAATAACAAAACCAAAGATGGGATAGTTTTTTGCGTAGTTAAGCACCTAAAATAATCTCTTAAACCACAACTTGTTGTAATCTAGCCAACACGATGTTTTTTTAATTCATTAACACTAAAGTTTCTAACTACAGTAAGACGTGATGCACATAAATAGCAGTAAAGTTACTTTTGTGATACAATTTAAAGAATCAGAAATTTAGGATAGATATATACGATATTTCTTTAAGTAAAATTAGCTTGTTAATCAAACAAACACACAGCTCAGATAGAATAGTATTATGAATTCATACAAAATCTACGTGAATGGAATAATGAAACGGTAAAATTATATAAAATTATTTTATAGAATCTGCGGATTTATGTGAATCTTATGAGACTAAAACTAAAAGCGTACGTCTATTCTATAACTGCTTAGATTGGCAGTTTGTCAAATCAATAAAACAAGAAGACTGAGATTGCTAGGTAAATAATCGACAATATTTTTTATCAATCAAAAAATATGAAGGAAACTTACTTGGTATTAAATAGGCACTAACGATTTTGTCGATTAAACCTGACAAGAAATATAAAGCAAACTACCATATTGTCAATATCTAGGAATTGCACAATTATTCATCTTTGAGGCATGGTGGCCCAGGTGATAGAAAGCTTGCCTCCGAATAAGGAAAACCGGATTCGTTTCCTAGCGACGGCTGGTCGATACGAATTCCGCACCCGACTCCATCCTGACCACAGCGCTGACGTTAAATATCCTCAGTGGTAGACGGGTCCTGGGTTAGAGTCCTCTTACCACCAGGCTAACCGTAGGAGGTTTTCATTGTTTTCATCTCCATGTAACGCAAATGCGCTCCCATTACTTGATCCAGGAGTTCCTTTGTCTTCTGGGTGACGTTCAAAATTACAAGGCTACGAAGTTGACGTAAACCCAAAATTAGGTTTGTTCTTCAACGACGGTTATAAAATTATTCACCTTTAAGCTCCTAACAATGGTCCAAAAGCATTTCTTATGCACAATAAACATTCCTTACCATCATTTCACACATTAATTTAGCTAAACAGTTTAAATATACACTGATTATTTGCTAAATTTACTAAGCTCCAAAAAAATTCAACATTCTTTACGAACAGATTAGAGCAAGCTTTATTAATTATTTGTATTAAGATTTAACTACACGCTTTAAAGCGTGTAAAAATGCTTAATTCGGTATTTACTTGAAATAAAGTAATCATCTACACAATTTTTTGAGTCTCTCAACACTGAATTCGGAGAGATGTTACACCATATTTTTTTAGCTTACGATGCGTGTGAGGCACGATAACTGATTCATATTCATTTTAAAAGGACAAAAATTAAACAATGATACGGTTTAATATGCTTCAAAATTCCTATTAGTGCCTTTTTACCGTTGTTTTACCACAATGTTGACTTAAAATATCCTTATTGGTTCACGGATCATGGGTTAGAACCCCCTTGCCGTCAGTCTAACCGTGGTAGTTGTTCCTGGTTTTCCTCTCCCTCTAGTTCCCCTGTCTTCCGGATTAGGTTCAAAATTACTAGGCTACGGAGTTGAACATCAGAAGTCATAATCCCAAAATAGGGTTAGTTGTTTAACGACAGTTATAATTATAATATTTGTGCATTTACATGTGCTATGATCATTGTTACTTAATATTTCGAATGTCAGAAGTTAAAGTGAGTCACAGATAGTATACTTATAAAGGGCTTAAAGCAATATAGTGAAAGACAACAGTTTTTTTTCTTCTCTAAAATATGATAATTACAATAACTGTTCCTTACTATAAATTCAGGATTTAAGATTACTCAATTTCCGTTAAATATCATCTTAATACACATTGAGATATCTTACATGAAAAGCATTATGTTTTTTTCCGAGCAATGCTCTCTTGAATTTTATGAAAACATCTATTTAATGGCTCAATTTATTAGATATTGTTCTATTTTATTGGCTCAAGCCCTTAATATAAATATTCTACTGAATAATTACTGTTTATGTTTTTTGAGGAATTAACGTTATCTAGAATCTTGTTGTGACAATCGTTTGGCATAAGCGATGCATCGCACGCCGTGTATTTTGATCTATAACGCATCTACACTGAG